TTGGTATTATTACCAAAGAAATGTAACATAAAATTAAAATTGTATTGATTGTAAGAATTATCAAAGTTATCTTATTTTACGGTATTAGATACTTAAATAACTTCCATTGTTAAATTGTCAAGATCATATTTTCAGTTATTGTAAATATCTGTGGTATTTTTTTTTTTTAATGTTAGATTTTTTTTCTGCTCCCCATATTTATTTTGGACATCATAAGTTCAAATAGGCTTCAGGAGAGTTTTGTAAAGCAACAATTTATTTTTATGTTGAGTTTGGAATGTACCTAGGAGTGGATATAGGGACTTTTGTCTTAGGTTTTAGAGGAGACATTTTTATTTTATATGCTCTACCTATCTCAATGGGGCGATATTGCCCCCCCCCCCAGTAAGCAGTAAAGGAGTTCTGAGTGGCGTTGAGCTCGTTTTGGGCGATAAGGGAGCAATATCGTTTTTATGACAGATATATTTGCAAAATTCAATGTCATCAAATATCAATTTGCAACTTCAAGACGACAAGCTCAATCTCATAACAGCTAAATCTATTATTTCTACATTCCAAAAAAACTAACTTTATGGAAGCAGAATTTAGGCTGCGACAAGTTTAGCCAGTTTCCAGTCCTGTTCTGTGTTTTAACATTTAACTAAATTGTATTTTTTAATAAATTATACATTTCAAGCTTATATTGGGGTAATTTAATAACTTTTCCTATTTTTATATGAATCGTGTAAACATCACTTTTTGGTGAACTTGGTCTAAATACCAACTGAAATTGCTGCTTTTGTGACAATGTATTTACAATATTTTTCCTAGAGGTAATTCTTCACATACCAATAATATAATTTTAAAATGTTTAGTAAATATTAATATGTTTTTAAAACAACATGTAATAATTGCTATAAAATAAAAATTGTTTTTAAGATGTATTTTAAATTTTAATCATTTTTTGGCCTGTTGTTTGATATTTTTGAAATGTATTAAACAAAAATGTTAATAACATTACAATATTTTTTTTAAACTTTTACCTATATTATCCATAGAAAATATGTTTTAAAAATCTAACATAGTTTTACAATTTAGGTTTTAACAATATCATTAAAATATAAATTTAAATACATTTTATAAAATAATAAAGTTTACTAACATAATATTTTAATCAGTCTTTATGTGTTGTATAGTATATTTTGCTCTAAATAAAACAAATACAAAATTATTATAAATAATAGGTAATATATTATTTTGTACTTGTGAATTTTAAAATTGTAAACTACTCATCGTAAGCATATAATAATATAACTTGAATAAAGTAAAATAATTATGTATTAATAAATGATGCAAAAGTTATGTATAATGTATAAATGAATAACAGAAAAATCACTATTGAATAAAATTATTTTATTTTTAGTATATCTGTGGTCATGGTTTGAATACTTTTTATAACTTTTTTAATACTTTTTAATACTTTTTTATTAGAAGTAAAAGTGTATTCATGGAATAAAAAAAAAGGAATTACGTCACGGATTAAGATTATATTATCTTAAATCGTGGCCCCGTTGCGCATCCATCCACTACCACCACGATTTAAGATAGTACTATCTTAAATCGTGACTACCACCCAAAAAATTGATAAGATTTCTATTGCCAWTATAGGGAAATATAAATTTTATTGTTGTAGTTTGTTTATTTAGATTATGATTTATTGTAGATAAAAATACTAAATAGTAAATTGCTACTTTATTACTTTACGTTTACTAACTTATTGTTTCATTTGTTTCTATTAAAGACATTAAAGTAATAAATAATTGTATACTCTATACTTTTAATTCTTATAATTCTTCTAATCATTAGAAATGGGATGCGATGGTGGTACTATACCCAAGAGGGACGAGTTGGTACGGACCAAAAAGAAACCTGAACAGGTATTGTACTTTCATCAATAGTTAACTAAAAACCAATTCTTGTGTAATACCAAATATTGTACATGGCAATTAATAATAATTAATCGTTATTGGTTACCTACACTTATAAGATACAATAACCAATTAATATTGATGCGATTCTATAAATACATCTTAAAATTAGTGTACCTAACGGCTAACATTGCATTCTATATAGAAGCCAATAATGGTCTTAGGATGTATAATCTGTCCCAAAATAAAATAAATATACCATTTTTCTGTACTTTTTCCTCTTCCTCTAGTGGCTACCTACGTCAATATGTGGGAGGTGTGTGCTGTCAGTCAGAAACCGGTCGCCACCTGGTATATTTTCTTTTGAAACGGTATATATATTGGTAGTTAATATTAAAGATTGAATGGTTTCTAGAGAATSGTACATGGACATTAAAATTTATACTGCATAGAAGGTCAGAAGTATGAGATGAGATATTTAATAAGGAAGTTATATTATTATAAAATTCAGCATCTGAACAGTGAGAACTAAGMGTAGAAATAATATTTTTTTGTTTTTTATTAAATTTTGATTTTATTTTGATGAGTGTACAATTAATAGTTAACTGCTTATTTCACCAATTAACTTATGAAGTGAGGTCTCCTTGACAAAAGACTAAACCTTCACTTAAGCTTAGGCCTCACAAATGAAGACCACTTCTCTGTTTTAAAACCTCTCTTACTAATAAAT